GGGCAAGGCGCCTCTCAGCACTCAGAAAACCGATTGTTCAAACCAACGAAATTTTGTTTCCGTCGACCGAATTTTAATCGTGTTGATTGGATAATTTAGTCAGGCCGATATAAAGTAATCACTTTGACAATACTTTTGGTTGGGCTAATCAAATTTAATTGTAAAAGCTTGATTAAACGTTTTCTTGGATTTAGGGAGTAAATTTTGTTTCCTTCAACTCGAATTTAGTCATACGGACTAATATCTTCTCGAGGATCTGTACAGCACAGAATTGTTCTTTTTATAGCATAAATTACTGAAAAATATATATACATAGAATAAATGCTCAAAAATATATCTTAATCAATCGGTCAATAGTTTTGGATGTCTTATAATATTTATTGTTGTGACACAAAAGTCTTAGGACATTCCACGACTCCCATTACTTTTATTAATTTACTTTGCAGCAAATGACACAGGACATCAGAAGGCACCTTCTGAGGAAGCTCTTTCCCGAGAGGCCAAGATGGAATTCGACTGTATCACTGAAGGAATGCAATGAGTAGTATGTATTGATTGATGTAGCACAGGATGATTATTAGATAATGAATAATACATATGCATTTCTTGTTTGCAGCAGTTCCGTTATCTGTGGAATATCCCATCCTGAAAATTTTGTAACAGATTATAAGGATCTTCTCCAATGGGAGAGACGCAATCAAGTTACAGAGGAAATGATAGTAAGTTTAAATGTGAGCATTTTCAGATATTGTTATAACGTACCCATACTAATCATTTACATTTCTTCCAGATAATATTCCCTGATCTTCAATTCTCTGTCGTGAACACAAGTTCTTCTCAGAGCTTCCGTATAGAGTGCAGAGTTGGAAGGTGCAGGTTTTGCACCAACTTGCTTTGAGGTGAGCTAATAATTAATTGAAGTTAGTTGTTAATCAGAAATTTTAATTTGTTCTGCATCTTAACATATTTCATTACGATTACGAAGTTAGCTGATGAATTAAAATTAAAAAAGGAGGCTTGGTTGCCTACATTTACAGTATTTTTTTTTCATTTGTGCATGACACTTGATAAAATACGGAAATCATCTGGAAAATCAAACGGAAAATCTTACGGAAAACAAGCTTTAGCCCTGAAAAGTGCTGTTTAGTTTTGTGGAATCTTCATGTGTCATAATAAGATTCCTCTCAATGTCGCAGCCGGATGGAGTGACATGGACTCCGTCGCGAGCTATGGTGCCCTTCTTGCCACACACGGTGCTGTGAGCGTCCAGCACTTGGAACCGCCGTGCCGCAAGAACTTTTAGGTTGAGGTTACATTGCCTTGGAACCATAGGGGCATCTTTAGGGAGGTCACACTGTAAAAATTCAGTAAAATTTTGACCAAGTGGCGTATGTCCACATTTTGGTGAATTTGAGTTTTTTTTGGTATGTGATACAAAATAAAGCAATACACATGTAGAATCAAACGGCATGTCAATATCTATAATAGTTCCTGAGTTACACATGGGGTACAAAATGGCGTATGTCCAAGTGCAATGTGACCAAGAGGCGTATGTCCACAGAAAATTTGACCAAGTGGCGAATGTCCACAGAAAATTTGACCAAGTGGCGAATGTCCACATATATTTTGATCAAGTGGCGTATGTCCACAGATGTTTTGACCAAGAGGCGAATGTCCACAAACATTTTGACCAAGTGACGAATGTCCATAGAATGTCTTGACAAAGTAGAACGTCTAACCCCAAGTTTGACAAATGGTGTACGCTATGTATAATTTTACATTGAAATTCCACTTACAGACCATAATCCTTCTGTTATTTTTGATCAAAGATCCACATCTCTGTGTGTGTTTCTGCTCTATACGGCTAAAAACTGTGTGGGATATCTTCCTACAGACTACCTTCCAAACCTCAATAATTTTGACAAATTGTTTTTTGTAGTAAAAAATCTAATTATGAATGCCTTGCCATGAAAGTCAGAAATGTATCAGGGTAAAATAGGCAAATCTGTTCACTTACCAGACAACAGCATTGCATTCCCTATCAGTTTTCAGGGTTATGGTGATGAGTTGAAAGTTTACTTTTGCTGTAGTGTTTTAAGTCTTGAAAAATACATCCAATTCGACATCGCCTTCGCACTTTTAACGCGAAAGAATAAGATTGGAAACAAGAAGAGAGTCCTCCCGTCATTTTACAGAACGTTATCTTTGAACAACTAATTTTTATATTTTTTTCGAAACACTTTCGTGATCGTTGTTAGTTGTTGTTTCTCTAATCGAGTTGTTGTCTGCTAGAGAGACTGGCGATAATGCCTGACCACTGACAATAACACCTATCCAACATAGGGCAGTAATTATTGAATGAGAAATTCATCGTCACAGCTGCTGCAGCAGACGACTAGACGACCGTTTTGTTTTATGTACCTCACCCCCTCGTTACTGAAGCTCTGTTAATCCTTCTCCACGCACGTTCCGATTACACTCAGCGTAAACAACAAATTTACAGTACATCCTCATCGCATTTCGGGTATTTTTTAAAATTTATACATTCGATCGCTTTGATTTTGATGCATCAGCTGATAGGCGAGGGCAAGAAGAAGACAAGAAAGACGAGCAGACGACGAAGCAGAAGGCAGAGGTCAGCGGGCAGTGAGTGAATCAGCTGGTGTTATTGTATTGAACACAGGTGTCTGCCGTGGCTTGGTTTTATTTTAATCGGTAAACATCAAGAATTGATAACGATCGTTGCGTATTCCATCATCAAATTGCAGTAAAGTAAAATTTCACTCTTGCGTCAGACCAACCAGAATAGTTCCGCCCGGACATATCTTTTAAGTATTCCTAACAACGCTTGCAAGCATGGTCGCTCAGCCTGAAAAGTAGCATTTCGGCTAGTTTTTTGTTATCCTCAGAGCAGAGTGTCATTCTGTGTTCACAGTAATTCCAGAAAAGGTCAATATCATAAATAATTCATTGAGGCATGTTAATGCCACACTGCTACATGACCTCACTGGCTCTAACCATCATACAGTCCAATTTCTGACCTCATAACCATAAGATAATTCACCTTTTGAAACAAGAATCAATCTCTCTGTGGTCTATGATTGTTATGTGGATTAAAGTGTCTCGTTTTCTTTTGTAAAGATAGATGTTTCGCTGTCCTGTTGGTGGTAAAGAGAAGAGGTGGAATGTGATGATAAGTTTGTCAGAAGTGAGGTGCACATCTACTCCGAAGAATTCGCAACATTTATATCCAAGTGAGTAAGCGCCACTTAGGAGTGTAGTTATTTTACTATAAAATCTTATATATTCTTCGAGGAGAACAAAAATATACCAGTCATATTCTTCCAAAGTATCAAAAGTGAAAGTAAAATTTAACATGCAGAAAAAAAATTGAAGGAAATTAATTGCTGTGACAAAGAATTCATGCACCAATGCTATAAATCTGCCTTAATAATTAACATAAGTGAAAGTAACATTCATACATGTGTAAAATAAGTTTACAATATAAAATTAGTGCCTCTGACTAAACTTCATTTGTATCAAATCTGCAATAAGAGTGGAAGTGAAATTTATACATGCTTAAATTAGATATATAAAGCTATAAATTACCCTGACAGTAAAGTTCATAATGTAATAAATAGATTTGGAATGGGCACATAGATGTAACAGAAAAATACATGGAACAATCAAATTAATAATGGGTAATACTAATGCATAAGCTTGCAGTATTCAAATGAGGCACACTGGGTAGTAACTTTTAAGTAGTAAAATAAATTCATTTAGACATGCAATATTTCTGACTAGAAAAATCCTATTAACTTCCTTTAACTAATATATACTTTGAATAGGTAAACATTTTATGAAAATAATATTTGGTGCATACTAGAGTAAATAATTTGGTACATACTGAATACGATATAAAATAAACTAAGTAATAGGAACATTACACCTGACAGCGGGTAGAGCTCATTCTGTTGGGTCGTCATCCTCTTCCTCCAACTGCAGGGGAGGGGATTGAGGATGTAGCTCGTGAACTGTGCTACTCACAGGAAGGTTCTGGTAGAAAGGGTGGAACTCTTCGTTTAGGTAGCAGAGTAAACTAATCAAGTCTTTCTTCTTTTCCACAGAAATTGGCTGGGATGCTGGCAGTGTTTGGAGGCATGGAAGGAGTTGCTTCAAGCGGTCACCTCGGACTCCTCTCCTCAAGAAGCTGAGAGACCGGAATTCTGCATCTTCACAGAATGATGACTTGACCTGAACCATGCCCATGTTGTTCTTGCAGTACTTCCACCAGTGAGTATCAAGATAACTGAAGGGTTCCTTGTCTGTACATTTGTGTCTTCTAATTAGCTCTTCCTTGGAAAGAGAAGCTACATCGTAGAATGATGTGACATGGGTGACCTTAAATTTTCCATCAGGAAAGTTTTTAGGATCAGTCCTTCCAGCCTGTTCGACGGCTGTGTACCATTCATCAGGAACATTGATTTTTTCCAGACGTTTCTTATATTTTTCAATAACAGCATGTTTCCCATCTACTTCAGGCATAAATGTATGCCCAGGAATCAAGAAAATATGATTGATCTCCTGTAGTGAAGGGTGCTCTTGTAAAGCGATGAACATCATCATACATACAGTGCTGTTACGATTTTGTCCAGAGCATCAATCAGAAAATATAGTGAGCTTTGTCACTTCATCTGGAACACTTTGAAGTATGTGTTGCAGAAGGCAGGTGGCAATTTCATTACTTCCCCGGTTCCCCTCAACCTCATTCCACATGTAACAGTGGGTGAGGCCTGTGCTGCAATCATGAATTGTGAAGTTGAGCACATAGAGTTGCCGGGAGTAATAAATTTTCTTGCATTTTAGATAGGGTGTGGGCAAACACTGTTGCAAGTCCATTACTAGAACTCTTGATGTTGGATTTTCTTTAGCAGCAGCCTTTGCTTTCTTCTTTAATTCATAAGCCTTTTCAGATTTTCTGATATGCATTTCCTTTTCAATTTTCAGACTCTTCCGTAAATCATCTCCTGCATCTTTGATGGAGATTTCAAGGGAATCACAGGTATCACAGCCGTCTGTCTGTGGGGGATGAATTTTCAATCCGGTAAGTTTAAATAGTTTAGTGTATGTTGACAGTGATACAGCCGGGTTGTCTGGTTCTTGCTGATACAGTCTGTACATCTCTGCCACTGTGAGGTCTGATCGTAGATATTTTTGATCATTGGTCTTTGACCTACAGTAGTGGGAAACATAGGCAGGGAAGCTTGCAATGTGCCTGTTTACAGCCTCTCCCTTACCTGTGTTGACAAGAGCATGTGGAGGCACCTTTTTTCCTCTTTTGTCATCAGGGGTGATACCTGAAGTAGAATCTTTTTTTGCATCCGCAACACCCCTGATGAAGCGATCTGTTTCACCAAGAGTTCCCCTCATGGTGGACCTGCACACTTTTTCCCTCTTCCCATTTATTTCAAGATAGTAATTGTTTGATTGGTTCTTTTGTCTCTTCTCATTTCCTTCCCTGGATCTTCTTCTCTTCACTTCTTCTCTTTCTATACGAGCTGCCACATAAGCCCTTCTCTTGTTGTGGCTCTTTTGCTGCCAATACTCTTTAAATAGTTTTTTCCCTACTTGAGGGGGGACTTTCTCATGGCAATAATTTCGCTTGCACACATGAGCTCGTTTCCATTTCTTCCGTGCCATAACCTTTCCTGTACGTGTTATGTACTGCTTTCCTGAGTCACGCAATAATTTCCTCTGCCTCTTTTTCTCTGTACTTGTTACTTTTGTTGCAGAGTTGTCAGCTGTTGGACCTGTACCTGGAAATAAATAATCATCAATTTTACTAATATAATCATAACTTTCAACCATTCCATGTCCAGAATTTCTCTGTGAATTCAATTCAAAAATGAAGAGAACATGGAGAAAGATTCCAAAGAATAGAAAGGTAAAAAGTTTGATATTTAACAATAATTACAAAAATTCTTGCTTTGGGAACAACTTACCCTCAGTTTCAGAGTCACTTTCTCCACTCTCTTCATTACTCTTGTCTGGATCTGGATCATCTTCATCTTCATCTTCACTCTGTGTGTGATCATTTGTTTCTTTATTTTGGCCTACTGTCTGATTTTTTCTTCTGTTTACAGGGGACTCCTCGACGCTTTCTTCCTGCTCCTCCTCGCCACTTCCTTCCTGCTCCTCCTCACTCTCAGAGTCAATCAGTTCTAAAACACAGATCAGTGATACATGATTTATTTTGTGATGAAGAAAATTGCACAGTCATAATTTTCATTATATTTGAACATATCAGGAAGATTGAAATATGAAATTCTGCAACTTTTGCCTTAAATCTGTCTGCATTTAACAATTGGTAAGCCTTGGACACTAAGACGTACCTTGGAAGTCGCTTATTGAACTTGAGTTATCTTTACTATCATCCGATTCATCATCACTATCTGAATTGCTTTGGTCAGAGTCAGCCTTTGCTTCGTTGGGCCTTTGAGAGACACTTCTTGCTTCCCTTTGAGGATTTTTTCTCTTACCTATAATCAAATACGATAAAACATTAATTGTAACTGATAGCTAATCAATAATATGGTGGCTTGAAGCCCAATGAAGCATGTTCTTACTTTCTGATACAATAGGTGTTTTCTGTTTCTTCTGCTTAGCTTTTCCTCCCTGGTTGTTTGCCTTCTCAATTATTGGGGATTTAGGTAGTTCTGAAACTGTAGGAAAA